CACGATGAGTTGTGTCGTGTAAAATAATGTATTGATGTTTATAATGATTAATTATATTAGCGTGTTTTGTAGATTGATTGAATTGTCGTTATTAAATATATTACGACATAATTAGGTACGTAAAGTTTTTTTTTTTTTTAACATTCAACACGATATGTAAAATTACAACATTGTTAATTTGTGCTTTATGATATAAATAAGTATTATAATATAATTATCATTGGTTTGTTGTATTTTACAAAATTTTACATGGCGATGTCCTTGTTACGCTTATTAATGTAATTTAATACAAACGAATGATTGTAGACATTAATCCTTTTCTTGTTTCTGTTAGCAAATTCAATCATATTATTTTGTATAAATTAAAATTAAAATTTAAACTATAATTACACTTAGGTACGATATAATGTATCTACGTGTACGCACTAACTTAAAATATATTTTATATGCAAAAAAAAAAAATGTAAATAAATACATTATTATTACAGAAGTAATAATAAATTACCTTTAATATACCAGTCGACTATTTTTTAACACAATGTGTAGGTGTCGAAAACATTTTAAATATTTTTGTGTTTTTTATATTATTTAATTTCTACGTTTCTTTTTTTAAATATCTTAGTTTGGAGTTTTTCAACAACTGATTTCAAATAACCTTTAGATAAAGTAATAAAATAGTAAATTGGGTAAGACGTTCAATTGGTTTTGGACATTTAATCCACTAACAGAGAAATTCACAAGTTCAGTAATCCTCTACTATCTAACTTTTTTTCTTTTTTTTTTTTGTCTAATTAATTAAATTAAAAACTAAGTTAGTTTGCAAATTGTGAACTGTGAAATTGTAAATATGTAAATATATGCAAACAAAAATAACTTGTACAAAATAAATAACACTTTTATGTAGTTTTTGTCAATTATTTTTGGTTGAACCGAAATTACTAAAACATAACTATGATATAAAATGATAACACAAGCAGTCATGATATTTTTTTTTCTAAAGACTCAATAATGTATGTAAATAAAATAAAAAATATGTACGATATATTATTTTTAAAAATCATTTTTATTTCTAGAATTGTAGCAGTGTGCAAGTTTGTTGGAAATCGCATGCTGTATTATAGTTTTCGCTCATTAAAGTTATTATTTGAATATTCTTAATTAATTATAAAAAAAAAAAAGTATAAAAAGTGTACCAATATTTTAACTTTTGTCCAATTGAAAAAAGAAAAATGTTTGTACAACCTAATTAAACACTTTTAATTTCGTTGTTTAAAATAATTAATTAAACTGGGTTGTCAATAATTACTGATTATAATATCGATATGTAGTTATATATTGCGTTTTTTAAATATGCATATTAATAATGATTAGAAATAGGTAACTAACATACATAATTATAATAAATTAGTATAGACGTATGTCTGTTGATTTTGCCACCTGTCGTCACTTTTGTTTTTATGGTTATCTATCAAAAACATTGTTGATTTTATAAAAATAAATATAATTAAAGACATGTTTTATTTATAAGTAAACATTTTTAGTTTTTATTTGCAAGTAATACACATGTTAAATATCTTAACAATAAATTCTAAACAATAGCCACTATATTAAAATATATTAAAATTTTTTGTAAATGTTTATTCATGAAAATTTGAATCACACGTACTGTGTAATGCACAAATATTAAAAATGAGGAGAGCTATTATAAAAATAAAATTTGATATTACAAATAAACACAAAGATTAAATAATACATTTTCACAGTATTAATTACATTTATATTTGAATGACTTAAATCCGTTTAACTGCTAATTACGAATGTTTTTGAAAAGTTAAATAAAGTGTCTAATGATAATTTAATCAGTGTTTTTATTTTACTAGATTTGTTAAACTCTTATAAATGTATTATGTCTAACTGTTAAATATGCGTTATTTTTCGTCTAATTTCATTCAATGTAACACATTCGTTCAATTTAAAATAAAATAAACTTAGCGATTTTAAACTGTAAAGTTAATTAGCCTACCTATACCTTTTTCATATAATTAACCTCATCAAAACATATTTTAACCATATTCAAACATATTTTATAGATATTTTGCAACAATATTGACTTTTCACATAGCACTTATTCGTGAAATTGTATGTAATGATGATTATGACGGTTAGTCCTTTTACACTAATCACAATGGTAAACAATATTTAAATTATTATTATTATACTATACACTTTAGAATATAAAAGAAGCGACAAATTCATTGGTCTCAAAGTAATGATTTTTTTATAAATGGACTTAAACACTTTTACGGCGGATAATATAGTGTATATACTGAAGAAGTACTTGAAATGTTCCATACTTGGCTTTTCTATATAGACTAGAAATTCGACACATGCTGTACTTTAAAAGAAAGCACTTTTGAAATTTCCGGCTTTATCGTGTTTAGTGCACTTTATGCGATCGTCCATTGTTGGTATTATATTAAAAAAAATGAACGATATTTTTATCCAAATAGCCATGAGAGGCAGACTTCATAGTCTTATAATATATTTTGTTTTACATACAGTAAGAATTCATAGAAACATCGACCACTGTAATTGTGTTCTGGAACTAAATTTTATTTCTCCAGACAATGTGTTGTCCCGTATAAAGTATTGTTAATCGAAATAAATTGGATTCAATGAAACAATATTTTATTTAAGCATCGATTCTATAAGTTTTTTATGAAGTAATATAAAATTAGTAAGCCACATATTTATAAGATATATTTCATAGAAATTTATTGTGCCTGTAAAGTGTTTATTGCCTCTGCTATACTGTCGTAAGTCATTTGTTGATAACAATAATTTTTACTTGACGCTAAAACTTCCGCCATGGCTTCTTTATATCAGATTATAATCATTTCAATTATTTTATTTTATAAGATTATTATTTATCTCGGGGAATGCATACAAATGTAATGAGTCTAACTGATCCAGGTACTTGAGCTATTGCTCTTAAGGTTGGCGTTTAAGATATAATTTGATAGTCGATAGACATAATGTGTGTATAATAAAAATATTTTTGGTTTATTTAAATTATTTAAATTATAAATTTGAATATATTATTCTAAAATTATAAATTTCATTAAAATCTACACTTTCTATAAATTTTCTAATATTTTGAAAACCCGCTAAAATTCATGATTTTTTTTTTTTTTACTTAACCCCTTTTGACCACTCACCGAAAATATATTTTTCATAAATAACTAAGAATAATTACCACTGCCATATTTTTTCGGTGATTTCTTTTTCTTAATTTTTTTTGGTTCTGCTGTAGCTATTGATGTATAACTGTGATTTATACTGAAGGTATAAAAATCTAATATATTTTGAAAAGAATCTCAATTATTAGATGATATAATAATATAATTTAAGAATTGGTGGCAAATAAACAATTAAAGTTTACAATTAAATAGATATTAAAGTTATTAAACTACAAAAAAATAGATGTAATAAACACTTATCTTTAAAAGCATTTTATGAGCCAAAAGTCTGAGTTCTGAAATAAAATATGTAAAATATCTATGGTATAAACGAATGGTTACCAATTACAGCTCCTGTGGCCCAAATTTAGATCACGATATTTTATTAACCGGATTGCTTAAATATTAAACTAAAATATTATTATACATATGCATGTATATTATATATTTATATCATTCATAACAATTAATATTCAATGAATAATAACTATAAATTTATAACTGCACAATAAGAAGAGATTAAATATTATGTTTAAAATTCCTATTCCTAACCTAACCTAATATTCTAGTAATTTGTAAGAAACATTTTAAATTCACGGCCAACCAAGAAATTTGTTTTTATTACCCCTAATAAAAAGAAGTTAGTAACTAAACACTAAAACTTTGTAATATTTTTCCAATTTTCAGGTTTTATTATTAAATTTACGGTTTTACCAGCATTGAAAAAAAATCTAAGCACATAGTATGAATCGTGCAAAAGCATTTTTTTAAATTTATTTTAGCCTAAAATGGATATAATATTTCTTTTATTCCACTCGTACTGAACAGAAACCTTAAAAAACAGTGCATTAATTCATAATATATCATTTTCCTCTGACGATAGAGAATAATGGTTGGGGTGACAAAGTGAATCGCCGAGTAGAAACTTATAATTATATAAAAAGTAATAACTCAAGAGTGCTGATAGACAATGACCGAGTATTCAGTTTAATAATTCATGATTTTTATTTCGAAAACAATTTCGATAAGTTTACCGCGAGGTAAATCATTTGTTTATCAATGCCTAGCTAAAATATAAAAACAATAACGCGTACCAATCTAAGTTCGCACTAAATAATTTTTATAAACGGTAGTTCAACATTATCTTTAAATGTTTAATAATAATGTATGTGTTGTTTAATGTATATATATATATATAACGTATATATTAGTCAAATATAATTTCATCGTTGGGAGTGATGCGTCAAACGAAAGCCAGTCTCTATACTATCATTCCGTTCTCTTGTATTGTTATAAAATCCCGTTTACAACAATACATCTGGAAAAATGTTATCTACCTCGTGAGTCGTGAAGTATTTTTATATCATCAACTATAGCATAAACATCAATTTTAAAGGACTATATGCGGTATATATACTTCATTTTTTTTTGCTACGTACTTTTTGTAAGTAAACATGAATCGTTTACTCATTTTTACATTTTTTATAAAATGATAAATGTATGTAATAAACTCATGTATATAAGTTAAATTGTTTGGAACATTAAATAGCCGAAAAAAAAATACCCAGTCACAAGTACCATTTACTAATATTAATAAGAATAAAATGTAATTATTCTTTAAAACGCATTTTATTTTGTTATGGATGTATGAATAATATGTAAAATTTTCATGTTAAGGTATTTTTCAAATTTGAATTATTACAATCGGAATTTTTTTTAACCATTATGATTTTTTAACATTATCATATTAAACAAATAGTGTAAATTAATATTTAAAATATTTAATAGATTTTTAATTGTCTAGCAATTTTGAAAACACATATTCTTTAAATCCTAATATTCCCTTGTGGTTGGCTTCATTGTAATTGGGTAATGTTTCCTGTGCAGTCTTGAACCATCTCAATACATTAGGATAACTGGTCAGATCATATCCTATAATCTATAAAAAAAATTAATATTTGTATTAAACGTATGTATAATATTACATATATGACTTCATTTATATTATAATTATATAATCTAAAATAAAAAAAAATGTTTGATCGTAATTAAAACGTATGTCGTACGTCTTTTTTTTTCATTGAAAAATAATATTAAAATTTGTTTATCTAAACACTTTGTTAAGTAGTTATTTAAAGTTTTTTGCAGAGCTATCTCGTTTTACAGGATTAATATAAAAAATTATGTATGCAATAAAATTTCTTAGTATAATGATATCTGACTTTACATAAATGCAAATAATATTTATGTATATCAACGAAAAATATATTTCTTATAAGTTTTCTATTTTAAGTCAATGAGGGTATGCAAATTAATTTATAATACATTTCCCAATAACACAATTTATGTACAAATGTTTATATATTTTTTTAAGAAGACAATATAATTTTAAAATTACCTCCAAAGACGATATAGTGACCACTACGACGATATCGGCGAGGGTTATGTCAGGACCGGCTACCCATTTTGTTCTTGACAAATACGCGTCAAGTATTTCTAAGGCGGCTGTCAATTTTGGTATAGCAGCAGTTCCATAGTGCCCTGTTGCGAACACTGGGCTCTAAAATATATGAATGTAACTTATAAATATATTTGATTTTGTACATCTTATAAGCTAGACCAACAAAAATTACATTTGACTTATAAACGTTATTGTAAACATGAAAGAATTATTGGTAACTCAAACCTTAATATCTCGATTACACAAAATTTTTCTTTAAACGTCATTTCGCCTATAGGAAATCGGTTTTTGATAACTCGCAATGTTTGTTAACTCGAATTATTTCGTATCCAAGTTTTACCTCGAACTTCGAGTGTTGACTGTATTATTAAATTATTGAATTATTTAATATTTATGATAACGATATTAGTAGTAAGTTAAAAACATCAACGATCAAAATAACATGAACAATTTTAATTTTATGTGTATTCACTTAAAAGTAAATGATTATTTCTAAACTGAAACATTCATTTAAACTATTATATGTGTCAGTAAAATTTAAGTTACAAGGCTCATTACAATACGAAAAGATTTGCGCGCTCGTTAATTTAGTAGTGCAGGTATATTCAATTAATTTTTATCTGTGAAAAATTAGAATGAATTATTTTATTTTTTTATGAATTTTTTCCTTTTTTTTTTATAGAATAATGTATTAATTTTATTTCTTATCAACGGCTTTAACACCATGAGTGTCTTGTACTAAATATTATATCATAAATAGTGTATTTTGTTTATATGTTACACTAATAATTCGATTGTATTTTACAGTAATCGGTTTTGATTTATAATGCATTGGTTATAAAATATAACATTCATCAGACTTTAAGCTATATCTCAATAACAATGAACAATGTAATAAAATGATGTAAGCGATTAATAGAATGACGGTTTTACTCGCAAATTATAAATTTTATATAGCGATAAATTTTAAAGAAATTTCCATTATTTAAAATGTTATTTAGTATATTAATGTATAATTGAAACACGCGTATGAATAAAACGCACAATAATGAAATAATCAAAGGTTTTTAACATCATATATAAACATTTATGCTGAATTGTGAAAAACTATATTAATTTACTGTAATCATAAAAACAATTTTGACTGAATTAAATAATTAAAAAAAAAAAAACTTGTAGGTAACTATATTGTATCAAATTAGTAAAATTAAAGATCATTTATCAAGCTAGGTATTCCTTGAAGATATATTTTATGAAAATTGATAAAAATTTGATATCAAACACTAGACTGTTTTTTTTTTCAATATAAAAACGACAAGAATATTTTTATAATATTATAACTCAAATTAAAGAGCACATTATTTTTATATAATGATATGATTTAAACTCTAGAGAAAAAAAGTTTTAATCTGTACTTTAAAAAGAAAGAGCAAGATGTGGGATTTGCCTGTTAAAATTCATGTCGTGTATTGGCATTGGTTATAAAATTTAAATTACTAGCACGTTTTGCTTTGTGGGCTTCTATTGTTTAATAGAAACATAAATTTAAAATTTATAGTTAATTTAGTGAATTTTATGTATTATCTATGATTAAATAATGATGCAGAAATATAACGTAATCAAAATAATAACATAATAAGTACAATCATTAATTGTATTATTTTTCATTCAAATTCTCGTTTAAGTGAATTAAAATGTTTATTATATATCTAACTATTTAAATTAATTGTTTTAAAGCCTTATCATAATAACTTTATAACATTAGTATAATTTTTTTTTTTTTAACAGATTTTTTAAAATAATAATAACAGTTTTTAAATAAAATAAGAATATTATATGGATAAATATTAGATAAAATAACTCTAGTTATTTTATGAATCACATACATTTAAACTATACATACAAAAAATAAATATCATAATGTTTTTGCTTTTTTAAATGCTTATGTTAATAAAAATTATAGATATGACTTTTTACGGATGAAGAGTCGTTCGTGGCACACGAATAAAAAAACTTTTATGCAATTGATTATACAATTTATATCACAAAAAAAAGATATATATTGTTTCGTTGAAAACTACAGGAGAATACTCCTTGATAAACAATCACCACATAAGAAGTAATAGTATAAGGCTTAAATTATGTAAAAATAAAGGACCTACTTTTATGGGAAATGGTTAAAGTGTCGTTTAAAATCACATATCCAACGAAATGCGGTTTTTGTATTACACAATACTTTGAATAGTCATACTTTACTATCTATCTATGGTTTAATAATCTTTTAGTTATAAGCATATTGATCCATAATGATTTATCATAAAATGGAACAGAATATTTTATGTATATTACTGTGTGTAACTTACCAAGCTTGCTCATCCTAATTTTTGCTTGACTATATATTTAAATTCATTGAACTTTTTGTACTAATTAATAAATATCCTAAATGATAAAAAATTTTATTTTTAAATAAGAACGCGCTTTTCTTTTTACTTTAAATTATTTAGTGAATAATTTTTTTTTTTTTTTTTAATGTGAGTATACCTATAACCTAGTTTAAAATTCAAGTTAGTAGATTTATAGTTATTAAAATATTTGTTCGAGTGTTTATTAAACTTTTTAAATATTTTTAAAAATTATAAATGTTAATTGATTCATATTAATTACTTAAATTATTAAAATTAAAATATAAAATAATTAAAAGAAGAATTAAATAGTGAACAACTTAATACTTTATAGCTGTAATTTAAATATTTATTAAAAAAAATATTTGTGAAAAAAAATAATGATTATAAATATTTAATTATTATTAATAAATAATAATTATACTTGGCTTATTTTCTGAATAATTGTTTCACAACTGATGTTTTGATTTTATTATTTTAATTTCAGTATTACTAAATTAATACTTTCATTTGTTCCCCAATAATGTTAAATAAAATGTTTATATAAAAACTAAATTTTTATTAAGTGATAGTGTAATAATATTATGTGAAGATCTATTTATGTGTAATGTTTTATCAAAGTAGTCTTTTGTGCAGCAAATAAATCTAATAAGCAAAATATCCTTAAACCATTAATTACATTAAGTAACCTACTCAACTAAAAGCTATTTTATTCCTTATTATTTACAGACTTCATTTTTGATCATATTATGCACTAAACGTATACCTCAGTCATTTAGTGGCTCAATTCTTATTTGAAAGTTTATAAATAACTTTTTATTAATATTTAAAGAACAAGCAATTATACAAACTCAGATAGATAGAATATGTCTGATTTGAAATAATTATATTGTTTATTTTTGACATTTATGAGTTTCTTAAAATATATATGAATAATACGAACAATTTTCACAATAAATGCAAGTGATGAATTAGAAAAATAATAGAGTTTTGAGCTAAACAACTTTGATGTAAATATACACGATATGAACAATATTTAAAATTTATTTAATTTTAATTTTTTTAAATTTTTTTTATCATTATTCGTTATCAAAGACCCTCTACCTATATTATTTAACCAGGTGAACCGTGTTTGATTTTGATGTTATAAATATTTTATTTTGGTTATGTGTTTTATTTTTTAACTTAGCATAAAACAATAAATATATTTAAAATATTAATACTTGTAAATCGAAGTCTGTATTATGAACGTAATAATCAAATCGAATAATTTTGATGAACATGATAATAATTATCATTGTTAAAAACGTTTAATAATAGTACAATATAATACATGAAAAATAATCAAAATTACTGTAAAATAATAATAAATTATGTATTTAATGCATTTATTAAGAGTTCTTATATTTTTTCTTTGATAGAATAAATTGCTTAGGTAATTTTGTAATATTAAAAAAAAAAAGACAAATCTCTTGGAAATAATATTATTTTATGAACTATTATAATGTTGTAATGAAAGCAATATGAATACTTACAATATAATCAGATGCTCTTCTGTAAAGAGATCCCAAATCGAAATCAATGCGGTGATCAATCGTTGCTCTTTTCTGTAAATCCTTGGGGTAAAGCTGCTCTTTGCAATATGCTCCAGTGGTAGAACCATATTTTTCTACGAGATATTTGCAAATTGCTCGGCTAAAAAATTGTTCATACATTTTAAGAATTCAATGCAATTTAACCTTAGGTTGTTTAGTTTATCTTAGTGGTTTTTATCTTTAAATGTTTTTATAATATTGATATTACGTTTTTATACGTATTTACTATATTATATTGATTATGTAAATAATAGAAAAGAAAATATTTTTGAAATTTATAATTAAGTACACTTTTTATTATTTTTAATGGACAGGAAAGTGTACGAAAGTATCATTTGAGTATTGTGTTTTGTTAGTGAATGTATTTTTTTTTATAACTATAAAGGTCTACTTAGGCAGTAAAAAATCTCATATATATTGAGACTTTAAGTACTAAATTTGTATTCAATAAGTATAAATTAAATTATAAGAGTTGGGAGTGATACAATTGAATAAAACATAAAAAAAAAAGAAACATTAAACATTTACCATTTACCTTTTGAACAAGTTTAAGTTGCATTCTTGTATTTATATATATATTCTATAGGTAATAATTTGTATTTAATTTAGTAAATAGCTTATTTATTGTGACATTTTTATGATACATGTAATAAAAACACTTAATAATATTTTATAAAAAGTACTTATTTTAAAAAAAGTTTATGTTTGGTAATTCATCAGTAAAATAGTTTAAATATCTTATAAAATGTAAAATGATACACAAAAACCTATTTTGTTATTAAAAAAAAAGAACATTTAATTAAATAAAAATGTTTAATGTTTATTTAAAATTTGTCATATATTTGATTTGATATTATATGTTGAAGAAATTAACATTAAAAATTGGCTGCAGGTATGTATTACTGCATATTTGTATTGCTTGTAAACTCTATCTATATAATATATCGTATTGGAAATATAATTTGCATGTGTTAATTTGTAATTATTAATGATACTCAATGCATATTTTCAGTGAGTAAAAAAAAAAAAAATAATAACTCGATATTGTTTACTATTTAAAACTAATTTTTAATCATTCATTCAAAACATTGACGTTGTGTAATTTTTATATTATTTTAATGAATACAATTAGTTTTCGTTTATATATATTATCAAGAGAACAATTATATATAGATTAATGACTGACGAAAGATATTTTTAACGTTTTATACCTAGTTTCATCATAAAACTACAAAAAAATGTAAAATGTTATTCGTTTTAATTTATTTTAGTTATTTCGTACCCTCGTCACTGAAAAAATATATACATTGAATATTGGTTGATTTTATCGTCTGATGGTACTTTAAAATGTTTATACGAGTAATAATATTCAAAAATAATTTACGTTGTATAATACTAACTAGAAACTAAATTGTCCGATAAAACCTTCACCCGGGAAAAAATTAACCAACATAAAATACAGCACTATATTGGTTAGGTTATCGGTGTACTTCATCGGTTTTAGTATACCTTAGTTCACTGACAAATCGACATCGGTTTGCTTTGTTGATTAATACGACTGAGGTGCGCAATCCGTCCGCGGTGGATTAGATATAACACTGGGTATATTTTCAAATGTAGTTCAAACACCCTCTATTACTCTCTTTTTATTTTTTTTTTATCTTTAAAAACAATCTTTGAAACTTTTGTTAAAATCGGTTCAGTAGTTTTTTAGTTTAAAAGCTACGAATATAAGGCTATTGAATTTTGTTGTGCATTTGGATAATAAATGACAAATTAAATACAGACTAGATTAGGACAAGCTCAAAACTAATTTATCTCCAATGCTACTTAAACACTAAAAATTGAAGACCAACACCTAGAGTAAACACTCTTCGTCCATACTTGAACATTCCCTTACACTTAACTCGTCGTACTAACGTTGATTTCAAATTTATATTATCTATTCTCAATGACTCTTTGAATATTTCTGCAATTTTATTTGTCAAATATTTTCAGAGTCTCAAGGAATTTAATGATATCATTTTTAATGAAATTGGTTCGGTAGTTTTTGAAATTAACGCTTTCAACATCAAAATTCTTGAAATTTATAATATTAGTATATATTATTATAAAGAATCCTGAAATAGATTTTCGCAATAAATATTGTGTTTACTTACCTTTCGCTCAAAACAAAACCGTTGTCGACGATGGTCGGAATCGTATGTTGAGGGGTCAACTATAACATAACCAAATAGGAAACAATGGTTGAAACAAAAAATGTCATACGACTATGTCACGACTGCCAAATGATGTATTAATAGGTGTTGACAAACAATTTAGATACCTACTTGTTTATACTCAGGTTTTTGCGTATCTCCTTTACTTGGTGTAGTCACAATTGGATTAAGTTTAATATTCAAGATGCTCGCCAACAATTCTACAGTCCTGCATGGTGGACTCCATGAAGTGTAGTAGAAATCAATGGTCATTTTGTAGTTTTCGCAATTATGGTGTGGAGAGTAGTCAAACGAAGAAGAGCTGTAGAACAGTGTCAATAATGTCTAGACGGACGTCTGCGTCAGTTTTATATCAATGATAATAACGCATAACGCATAGACTGCCGTTTTTATTTTTTTTAATTGTTGCATCATGTAATAATAACGTTGCGCTTTTTGTGTAATAATGTCAAAAAGGTCTAAAGAAAAAATCAGGTTATTTAAATGTTCTTATATATATATATATATATATATATATATTATATCTCAATAAACTATATTTATTATATAATTTACCTACATAAAATATTTACCGATGAATAAATAATTTATGTAAAAAAATAAAAATTAATATATCATCAGAATTAGTGTTGGGATATTATATAAGCAATGCATTTGAAATGATTCAGATGATTTGGAAACTCGACATAAATATTAGTAATGTGCAGAACATTAGCGATTTGTCGACAACAAACACATTTTCCAATATTGATGTAATTAAGTATTATCGTTATTAATATCGATCTTTAAACGAAAACAACTGAATTTATATTTTATATTTATATTGTGTATCCGATACATGTGGACTTATAATACTACCGGATTATTGAACCATTTGAAACACTATATATTTAAACAGAAATCTGGTAACATTTAAAGTTTCTTTATTTTCATTATACTTCTATTTGATTATGTGTGTAGATATAAATAATATTATTGACAAGTTTATAGTTGTTATTGAAATTTCAATAATATTATCAGGAGATTTAATTACATTGCATTATTTAAGTGATAATCCTAAACTAAAATTATAGCTGACTGTAATAAACATATAATACCAGATTATAAGGGTGCGAACTATTAATAAGACTCTACTGTCTCTACCGCATTTATATTTAGAATATTTAGACAGAAAATACATTAAACAACTCAAATAAACCTCTAACTATATAGTAAATATAAATAACTAAATATTATTATTTATGTATTATTTTTTTATTTGTTAAAATGTTTTTTTTTTTTTTTGTTTTTACTGTGAAGATATAGAGTAATCTATAAAATAATACATTAGAAAGAACATTTTATTACGAATATAAAAAATATATACATTTATTTTTGATATCATAATATTAGTATTCGATATCGCCATATGATATCAATACTAAAAAAATATTATACTACATCACTACTTAATAAATACAGTAATATTATTACAACTTCAATACTTGCGAGTCTCAGAACGTGATTTATAGTTACTCTGTGAAGTCGACATCATTTGTTACTGTCATCGGTGAAGTATTGGGCTGGATTATGTTTTCATCGCATATAACTGCCATAAACGCAATGATTTTATTTTGAAATTTCTTGAGTGAGTTAACCGAAGAAATGGCTGTAAACGCTATCATGAAGTTATTTTATTTACCATCGTAAACCATGTTTACCCTGTAAACGTGACCCTGTGCGATTGTGCGATAAAAAGACATCAGTCAAACAACAACGGCCCTATCTATCTTTATTGCCATTATGTTAATTGAGAATTTAAGACGTTTCAACATTTCAGACTTGCAATATAAAGAGTATAGAGATATAATGTTATAATTTTGTGTACTTATGATGCATGTCTCAGGTCCGTTTGGTCAAAACCATAGTACGATGCCTCGCAGGATTTTAACTTTTGATTAACAACAAGTAACTGCTATTATAATAACATCATATACAACGTTACCATGTGTATTGTGTACATTTATATTATGGTTCGCAATGAGTTAGTTTTGGCAACTTAATCACTGTACGACATAAATACATAATATCATGGCGCGTATTAAAATTGTCAAAACTAATATCACGATAGCACATGAACATTTTGTAAAACAGTGAAATACTGATATTAATCGCCATAGTTTTATTATCTGTTTTTTACGACATTTAAATGAGAAAAAGTCAAAACAAACATATCATATTATTTTCAATTTTATAATGATATATTTATTATAAAACTTCAATAAGAACCAATGTAAAATATTCCAATATCAATACCAGAGTGGTAAAAATTATTAATTTAAAACTTTGTTTTCAATAGATTAACAATAGATATACATACCACTATGCGTAACAATTTTAGAAAATTTTATTTACTTCTCTTTATTAAGTTATTAGGCTTACATTATTAATACGATGTGTCATATTTTGTTAATAATTATAATTTTAATAAATATTATGTTAAATTTTGAGTATTTATCTTATTTATTTTCGCCGTTATCATATTAATATTTTATATTTATTTTAATTTTATGTTAAAAATTTGTTAAATACATTTTAATTTATAATATATGTGTTGATCACGTGGAATAAGCTTATTTTTGCAATTTATTGAGTAAATATAATATTGCAATATTTAAAAATAACGATTGATATAGCTGTTACACATTTACATAACTTATTAAAAATTTTTGAAAAATTTGGGGAGATGGAGTTGATGAAAAAAAAAAATGCTACTATGTTAAATATTGTAAATGTGATGCAAACCAATAGACCTCGGAAGAAAAAAAAGATGGCTGGTGAGTTTGTTGAAGATGAAAAACAACTATAAGTGAAAAACAAAAATTCAATATTTTAATAAAATCTGCTATAGATAATATTTTATCAAGATTTTCTCTTAGTATGGTAAAACGTGGTTTAAAACACCATTAAATTATGTAAAAAACATTCAATTGATTTATGTAGGTAATAACTAATAAGTATGAAAAAGACTTATATATAATCAAATTTATAAACGAAAAAGTTTTGAACATATTTTTACGTTAGACGACTCACTAAGATATGGAAATTATTTTGAAATTCTAAATTTTATTTATAAAATTAATTTACAAGATACCTATTCTAATATGTCAATAACAATATATTAAATATATTTAATTTTAACTGTGACTTTAACATCTTACAAAAAAAGTTTTAGTAAGTTAAAATTATTCAAATCTCATCTTAGATATGGAAACAATCACGACAGATTCAACCATCTATCAATTATTTTAATTGAAAATCAAGTAACAAAACTTTAGATTATAAATTACCACTAAGTAATCAAAAAAAAAAAAAAATTAAAATTTTATGTTAATTTTTTTTTTTTTTAATAAGTACTCAATTTGATTAAAATACAAATAGCTAATAGTCAATTTACTAAAAATGATTTTCACGTATTAGCTAACTTTTAATAATACTATATTATTCTATTTTTTTTTTATGTTTTGTATTTATATGAAAAAACCTTATCTTATTTTTTAAAATTATTTTGGATATCTATGTAAACATTTTTTTACTGTGAAATATTATACAGGACAAGAAACAATTTTTTTTTAAGATTGGTATTTAGTACACATTTTTCTAATCAACGATTTTACGATTTTTTTTCTTTTTTTAAATAGTAACTGGTACATAAGACATAGGTATAACTGTGGCATATTTGAGGAGGACTGATATATTGTACTTTTTTTGGGTAAAAAATATGTTAGATTCGAACCTAGTTGTTACCTAGTAATTTAAGTTGATATTTAATAACTGCACTATTAATACAGACATACAGTACTATACAGTGTATAGTTTATTTAATTGACAATAGGGTTATAATTAATAGGAACGAATAAACGCAAAACGATAGAACTTCATAAACGTATTATGGGTATATTATTGTTTATTGCAAACTGATAGAAATAGTGACTGTGGTCTAACCAGTGATATGGTTAGGTACGTTATAAATAACGTGCACCGAGCAATAAAATTGTAGGCCGGAGCTATATTCCACGATTGTAAATTAAGAACCAACATTACTCGATCAATTTGTATATTAATTATTATTAGTTTATAATTTTCCATCGCGAATTCGAAAACGTCTTTTTATTTATTAGCCACCGTAAATATTTTATTACCTTCTATTATATGCCAGGGCGGAATATTGCCCTACTCAACCACCCCTTAAATACGGCCTTCATGATGTAAATACAATAATCAAATTATATTTATCTAACTATAATATAATAAATACTATGAGTAGTAAATAAGTTAAAAAATATATGAATTGTTTACGGGTCGTGTAACTTATAGGGGGGAGGTTGATGGAGTAGTTGGAAACATAATTTTTCTTCCTATCTTTTTCATTTTTTAACCTTACTTTTTAATAAAACTACTTTCAATCACACGATTAAATTTAATAGATTCCTGATAAATTTTTTCGCAGAGTTCAAGCTTTTTGGATTTCAATTTTTATAATAATCAAGAAATTAGCACATTATTCTCGATTTTGGATGAACACGTAAACAAGATCGCCGAGGTGAATGTGAATACTGAATCAACACAGGATATGACAATAGACAGCATTCTTTACTGAGGACCACGTGGTTAAACGTAGGTACCTTATCTACACTTTTTGGACAGAGAAAAACACATCACAACAGAACGGGACGTGGGTCATAAATGAAATGTCAAATGATTAATGAACACGTTTACACCGTTTACAGTTTACATGTGAACACGGCACACGACGGCAAACGGGGCTGGTTATGTGTGTGTGTTCGTACACTATATGGTGCGTAAGTGTGTAACAAGTATTTGGAGGCGTGTGTCTTGCAGAGGGGGAATGCAATAGTGGGAGAATCATTGTCTCGTACGGTAACGACGCTGGCGCGCGGTGGCAAAAATATTATAAAATTACTATTAAAATTTGGAATAATTTTTGGTTGTAACTGATTACTGAAACATTATTCAGTTAATGATACTTTAAATTACAAAATCACATAGACTGTGCAATTATATCAATGTCAATACGTTTTTCTAACTACATGGTTCATTCATTAGGCTTGAAGGTTTAATTAAAGGATACCATATTATTTGCACGGTTAAAACGGGAACATTTGGTTTTCAGTACATGAACACGGTCGTGTTGCTACGCTTCGCGACATTACCGTAATACCGTGTTATTGAACAGTAGTGGTGACGTAGAGAAGAAACTGGATGCCACCGCTGCCACACTGCGATTTACACCCCACCTATAACAATTGGATCTCAATATGCGATGTACTCCATACGCGCAGTATAACAAAAATTCAAGACCTTTTTTGACCCTCTATGGCTTTATTGTTATACATCGTTGCAGTTTCTACATTCCTGAATAGAGTGAAGGGAGGAGAGAGGGTGTTTATTGTATATAAGTGAAATTTATATAGTGAAATACGTATCATAACAGATGCCTTTAGTATCCAACAAGCGGTAGACCAGTGCATGTGTGTATATTGTGTCGTGTTACCTAAGCGTTCCAGTAGTATTTTTTACTGTAATCATTTAATGTTTCAGTTATAGTTACGAAATTTTAAAATGTCCGATAAGAATAAAGATACTCGTAGTCAGAGTAAGAAAATTATATATGACGTGTATAAATTTTTTAAAAACCTATCTGAGAAACCTGATTTGACAGCCGATTTTTTTAAACGTGCCCAAGAAGTTACAGCTCAAGCTTGTAGAGTTTCAACTCGTACCGTTACCCGCATTTGTTGTGAGGCTTCGAAATCAGTAAATCCACAAACACATGTTCCAAGTCCATCTTTTAAATCTCCGCGGAAATCGTACAAACGCGCGAAAATTCTAACTGAGTTGGACGATTATGATGCAAGTATAGTTGGAAGTATTGTACATGATATATATGATAATGGTGAGTACCCTCTTTCTTCAATAATTCTCAATACTCTGCGAGAAAAAATTAATTACACCGGAAGTATTAAATCAGTGCATCGAATCCTTAAACATTTGAACTTTTCGTTTAAGAAATGCACCGATGGTCGCAATTTGTTAATGGAGCACACAGACATTGTTGCTCAACGATGTATATTTCTTAGAAAAATGTGCACAATGCGTACAAATAAAGATAGTCACCCCGTCGTTTATGTTGGTGAGACATGGATTAACCGAAATCATCCTACTGCTAAAGAAGGAGGAGTGATTGTTTGCTACGCAGGATGCACCCGCCAGGGTTTTATTAAAAACTCCAAATTAGTTATTTGTAGTAATACTGGCAATAGTATTGAAAACAATTGCCAAATGAATGCTGAAGTTTACAAACAGTGGTTTCTGACATTGCTCGACAATATAGAAGAGCCATCTGTTATTATAATGGGCAATGCATCTTATAGTTTAACCTTATCTGAAAATTATCCCAAATGTAATTCAATAAAAGCAGATGTACAGAAATGGCTTACGGATAAAAAAATTCCCTACAGTCCTCTCGAAACATTGGCCGAACTTAAAATAAAGGTAAAAAATACAATTTCACGTGAAAAATCTTTCCATCTTGATCAACTTGCATTAAAAAGAGGTCACGAGGTGATACGATTTCCTCCCTATTACCATCAGTATAATCCTCTCGAGTTAATTTGGGCCCAAGTTAAGGATCAAGTTAAAAAATTAAACAATAATTTTAATATCGTGGAAATTGAACGATTGACTCACGCAGCATTAGATTCGATGACTGTATGTGATTGGGATAAATGTGTACAACAAGCAGAAGCTGTCCAATCACAGGCCTATGAAAAAGAAATTCGAAGAGATACCATATTAGAACCCATGATACGAACCATATTACCTGATAACAATGATTACAGTGGTGATGAGGATGCAGATAATGATGAAGACTTATTATTTTTATGACTGACATGTAATTTGTTTAAGTTTAAAGTTTGTATGATATATTGAATATTGATACTATACAATGTAGTGTATAAAAAAATGTAATATAATTATAAGTTGATTTTAAATTTGATTTAGTACATTAATAGTATTAAGATGCAATTTGACTTTTTTTTTAATTAGAAAAAATAAAAAAATATTTTTAAAAATGCACGCCAATTGTTTTTATAATTTGAAGAACACATGAAAAATCTCATAAATATGATCACAGCAGTAACATGTTAGTTTTCATGACCCCAGCTTTAGTTTTAATGTTTATATCATATTTTACATATTATAATATATGATCTAAGTACATGTTTCCAAATTATTCATAACCCATTTTGAAATATTTTTAAATTTTAGGGGCTTACAACATACAAACGGCCTTTTTTTAAATCAATGACGTGACCATGACCCATTATGCTTTAGAAACCTTTAATCAGAGGACTATGAATATCGTATAATCGATATAATTTTCAACAGTTTAGCAAATTACAGTTTAATGCACACGTGAGTAACCAATGTCACAACCACATAATATCATATTATGTATAGGTTGTAGTGTTAATAATATGTCATCAGCTGGCGAATTTCGGTATAGGTTTGTGGTTTTGAGATGCGTGGTGGCTATTTTATGATACCTATTATATTCAAAAAAAAATAAAAAAAATAAATTTTATTAATAACTGGTGTAGCGTAAAAATTCCTCGTTTTTTTCTGATTATTTAGAAAAGTGCTGGAAAATTTTACTTACGACTCCTTTCTTCTCAAAACAAAGACCTGCTAGTTAAATTTGTTACCAGAAATTGCTTCTAAAGTTGAAAGTCGAAGTATTTTTTTTTTTTTTTTTTTACAGTCCCAAAAGATGATGACAGACACAAATACACACATCTTTGAAAATAATACATTCTAAAAGATAACGCAGAAAGCTATTAAATAGCATATTATATAATTATGATATTATGTTGTTAACAATCACTCATTTGACTATAAATAATTATTTAAGTTATGACAAATGTATTTTCTAAATAAAACAAAATATCAGCATGGAAAAGAGAGATAAAGTATATTACATATTAGCATTGTTGATATAATATGTATATATTACAACGATAGCAAGAAAGTTATACAGAAGTTGATTACATTTCGGTTAAAAGATAACGGATTTTATGTTATTTTCTTTTAGAAATATTTTGTTAAAACTTCTGTTGAAAAGTTTGATATAATTGTTTGCTGTACTATGTGTTGTAATCGGACGTATTTATTTTAAATTAAACTATCCAAAACGAGCACGACTAGTACGGCTATAGTAGATATAATATATAAGTATACTGTATAGAAAATTCGAGAATGATTTTACAAAACACCTTAAATGCGCCAAGTGTCAACCCAATTCTAAGTAAATTCGTATGTATGTTTTCGAGAATGATTAATGTAGTGGTATAGAACAAAATAATATTTTAATTAAATAGTTATTTGTGTCGTTACTAGTAATCCTTATTTTATTATACATAATATGTATATCGTATATCGAATACTATTGGTCAGCAAACTGTATACATAATATAATACGTATAAACTGAATTTTAACAAAGTTAAAATATGTTAATTGGTTTCTAGAATTGCATTAAATATTCTCATGGATAAATCGTGTACATTATTATACTCGTATATTAACCGATTGAATATATTTTATTACCAAGTGGGATTTCAAATTGTAGGTAAGTACTTTAAGTACATTTTATAAATATTTAATAGCTTTAAAAAAAAGATTGAGTTATGTTGATGTAGATTTAAAACAAATAAATCATTTAAATCTAATAATTATATTTTTCAACAATTATGGAAAAAACTTAAATTTAACTAATTACACGATCACATTATCGGAATTTGCAATGTATTTTTAGATAGTATTATATTCGTGAATTTCTTTTATAGTAAAAATATTAGCATTGATTTAACGTATTTTATATGATATAGATCTAATATAGAGCTACCGATATGTCAATTAACTATAAAAAATTGTATTTAAGTTATTGATAATATCATATGAAACATTATGTAATATTAAATAAACATTTAATATATTATAATAGTATTCAATACTAATAAAATATATTAAGTACTAATAAAAGTTTAGTTACTTATATTATGATTATAATTAAATCTAACCGTAACTAGATCAGTGAGGTTGATATATTGAGCTTATAATTATAATTATATAACATATTATATTTATATAATTAAATATAATTAATTATAATATCCTTGTAAATGTATTAATCTTATTTTAACAAAAATGAATTTTTTTATTTGGAAAATTTTGCAATCTGTACTAGTGAACATAATAAAAAAATATGATGATATAATATTTAAATATTTATTTTATATGAATGATTATATGAGAAGAGATGATATCCAATGATGGAACTCAATGTGAATGTTATTTTAAATATTTAGTGAAATTATGTTTTCAAAACAATTAGTTTAGTTTAAAAATATTATACAGATTCAAAATTTTAACAAATCGTATATTTTAGTGTCAGTAGATTAGTAGTGATTGGCAGATCGCTCGTTAGACTAGTCACTAGTGACTAAATATTGAATATTATTGTATACCTACATATAAATAATATTTATTATTAACGGTCACTCATTGTAGGTTTTATTGATTATATTTAATTCTACATCCACGCTGAAATAAATTGTTGTTAATTATAGTTATGAGTACTATACATTTTTTTTTTTTCACTTGAAAATTATAAATTATTACAATGTATGTACTATCTGTGTAGGTTATTAAATTTAGATAGTGGCCGTCATAGTTGATTAATTTTTTATAACTTTACTGTATGTGCTGATGGTGGAAGATAAAACGACGTCGTTAGTACGTTGTCAAACAAAAGTTATTACACATTTTAATAAGCTTTGTTTTGTACATGGGAAAGAAAAAAAGTCGAAGATTTAAAAACGTTCATTATTGATGCTGAACTTGCCATGATGGCATCTTCACAAACATTCATATCATCTACTGGGAGGACAAGATGTCTACCCCTATCGCCACCGTTTTTTTGGATAAATATACATTTTGTGACTTACAAGTTGTGAGTATGAAAAGTCTACGAGTTACAATCTTTACATCTTAAGTCATACCGCATTATCTGTGATTTAATATGTAAAATTGTTTAAGTTACTACTTTTGATTGTTTCAAATATGACACTACGAGTTCAAATAAAATAGTTGAACCATTTCTTACTTGTTTTTTACCCCAACTATTTTTACTAATCAATATTTTTTAATACTAGGATTAATTTAACGACATATTGTAATATTATTATTTGTTATCTTATTTTAATTTAAAATAAGATAATGATGAAAAAATGTAAACATATTCGTTGAAAAAAAATAATAAATATCCACTTTGATTTATAAAGCACCACCGGGAAATGTCTGTTGATGTGACACATGTTTTTTTTTCTACTCCAAAATTAAATGTAAAAAAACTTCATTCATTTTTTTCTTTTTAAGTTCTCCATAATAGGTTTTCATTCTTTCGACGCACTATTCATTCACATTTGTATACTTACTATTACATATAAACATTATATCAGACAACATTTACGGCCCGACTGCCAATTCTTGTTTTCCATTTTTGAAGTAAACACCTCTCTATTTTTTTTAATTTTCATTTTTTTTTTTAAATTTTACCACCAGCCATATTTAGAAACGACTTATCTGACATTTGTGGAAATTCATAAATTCTTTGTTTTTGTCTGTTGACATTTGATTTTTTATATTTGGTTTACTTTTATTATTTTACTTTGACGTAAGATGTATTTTTTTTTTATGGAAATATCATGCATGAGATTGATAACTTTGTGTGGATGTATTATTGTATCCATCAATAAGACTGAAATACTTAGTATTATTATTTTACAAATATAAAAAATATTATAAATACAATTATCATATTATGTGGATAAGCAATTAAAAACTTTAAATAAGTTTAAAATTAATCAACATTTCAAATCTCTTGATTTTTTTTTTTTACATATATATTTCTTTATATTATTATTTATCATATCAAATGTAGTCAAAAAGATATTTGTATTACAGTAAAAAGTGATTTTTTTTTTTATTTGTTTAAAAGAAAAAAAATTGTTTTAATCTTTAACTCTTGATTTTCTACTAATTTTGTAATTTAAAAAAATATAAAATATATTACAGTATGGACTTCTTTTTTTCAGCAAATATTTATTTTAGAATTCTTATTTATACAATTTAAATACAATTAAACTATTAAGAATAACTTCAAGCTATTTATAGATATTTTAAATTAAAAATCTAAAAGTTCCTTAGATTTTTTTTTTTTAATAATACAATGTTTAGTATGCGTGTATTCAAAACATACCTGGATTTTAAAAGGAATTTAATGTACAATAATAATTAAAAAAAAAAAAATAAACGTAAATGTACTTATTTTAAATACATTTTGTAGTAAATTATTAGATTTTAAGCGCATTTTTATGTTGATCTTTTGTTAAAAATATTTTCAAACAAAAAGTAAATCAATTAAATTTGGTCCATAAGACCAAAACCCATAATAATCTATTTAAAAATTAAAAGTCACTTTACTATATAATTTAGTTTTTACTGTGTGAGATAATTGAAAATATTTTTTTTTAACTTTTCCACTTATCAGTAGTTAAATAATTGGGTCAATAAATAATAATTATAATATTCAATCATGAAACATTTTTAATATGCATAACTTAATTTTGACTTAAATTCATTACTATAACGTGACATGTTGGTTCCATTGTTAACAACCAAAGGAAAAAAAGTGGTACTAAAATAAATTTTAATTATATTTTCATTTTTGAGCTATTATGGTAAATACTTATGGCTTATAATTAAAAAAATAATATATCTTTTTTAATAAAAACTAACTATTAAAATAAAATTGAGATTCATAAGT